TTTCTGGATTCATTCAAATTAGCAAAGAAATCCAGCCCGTACTGAAGAAGAGTGAGAAAAAAACTTGTAAAAAAGAGATAAACCGGTATTAACAATCTAGTTTTGTCTGGGATCCCTATATAATGAAGGATAAAGAGAGATCACATATACAACTTCGTAGAGCTAAATTCACTCTATCGAATGAGATATTACCCGGAAGGATTCCGGAGAAATACTGTGGAAAAAGTTTCGAGATACGGACTAATTGAGTTAACTACGAAAACAAAAACTATTTTTCAAAAAGCTCGTTGAAGACCTAGTCAGTGTTTGCCCCATAACTCTTCAGAGCCAAATCAGAATGGACTAAAAATTTGGATTTAGAAATTTTCAATGCTACCCTTTTTATTTGAAATTAAAAGAATATAGAAGTCAAAATTTTCGAGAGAATGACGAAGTTTGATGAAGCTGTGGACTGTCTTTTAAATACCATAAATTTGGACGATCTATAATTTAAAACGACAATGCCAACTTCACAGAAATACATCACTAGTAGTTTTAGTGTTGATACGGCAATACCGTCTTTCAGTCTAGTCTTCTTCCTATTAAATATTTTGGGAATTTTTTAAAGTTTACTTAATGTTGCAAAGTTAATTTTCATCATTGCGATTGTATAAATTTTTCTTATTTATTTACCTCATAATAAAAATATTTTGACTGTGAAAGAAAAGTTATTGATAAACAGGATTAATGAGTCATTTTATAGAGCATGAAAAAACCGCGTCAACCTACAATATTAATTTCGATATAGAAGCTACAAATAAAAAAGAATGGATATCATAGTTAATATTTGCAAAACTCAAAAGTGGTACACACACCTAGGATAAGTTGGTTCTAAAACAAAAAGAATTATTTTGAACTCAATAAGGCCGAAAGTAAATATACGGAAATGTTCAGAATTCCAAGCTCATCTTTCTTAACCATCGAAAGTCGAGACTAAGAGGATAACAGATCTACGACCTTATCTGACAATGTCCTTTGTCAAAAAAGCTTCGCTAATCGTTCTTATCCAATTTCTGATAGAATCCATTCATTTCGTTACTTTTATCAAATTTGTGATTTCAATGACAACATAAATCCATCAGAAACATCTATATATATATATAGAAGTATTGTTTTGAGAAAATGAACTTGGAAGTATATAATAAAGACAGGATTCATCTTGATCTAATGACCAATAAGATATAAGGAAGCTATCCATATTGAACATTCTTACCGTTGTCTTCAGTTTCAATCATTTTATTAATACAAGGTTGTGAAAAACAAAAACAAAATGTACAGATAAATAATTATGGAAGACGAATACTGAGCGTTTGATCTTCGAATTTTACAACGACTCTGTCTTCATCATTTTTGTTTACGCTAAATGATTGGTGTCGTTTCTCCATGATATAGTTGCGGGAAAATGGATTATCTAATAGAGAATTTTGTCTGCAGTGTATTATAATAAAACGTAATTTCGCAAGTTCACGTAGAAAAATATCGACAATAGGTACTGAAATATCTATTGAATAGACGTCGATCTCTATCAAACTCAAAGATGGAAAACGCTGAACAATTGTTGACGCATATTTCGAAGGAAAATACATATTATCTGTTAATATATGAAGCTTGTTCAGTCGATTAAAAATAAGAATCAGCTTAGGATTGTTTAATACGTTGGGTGAAAAGAACAATGAACTGTCTATAATAAGTTCTGTGACATTTGGACATGCCCTAAAAAAGAGAAAATAAAAGTATTTTCTATCGAATATTATACATATTGTATGTTTTAATCAAAAACCTATCAACTAAAGTTTTCTTTCTAGTAGATCAACACGAATAGTACTAATGGCTTTCCAAATGAAAAGATTAGAATGTTTTTGATGATAAAGCAATTCTCTAAACTTTTTTCTTCAAAAACTCTGATATTATATATACTGAAAGAAAGAGAATGTTTAGATCAACAGTGTGTTTTGGAAACAGAATCTACCATGCACAATTTTAAACTCAGAAGACTCAACTTACAATATTTTGACCACATTATTTTAATCAATTAATGTCAATCTGATAGACTATTTATTTAAAATCTTCTACGTAAAAAGATGTTCGCTATTTGATTTTCAAAGATTAAATCTGACTAAAATTTTATTAAAAATGATATTTATGAAATGATACATTCGATAAAAGCTCATGAATAATTTTCAAACAATGAGAATCATTTAATATAGTTCTTATTAATTCGAAAAAAATTAAAAAATCTTTCATGACTAATTAGATTTCTGGTCTAAAATCATTCTAATACCGATGAGTAACATTCTGCATGATGGTGAGCTAAACGGTCAATCACTCTAGACACTACTCATAAGTTTACCTTTCAATAAGTTTCGTTCTAAAAAATGTTCAAACTTACAATAAAACATGTTCAATAATATGTAATCTTGTTATATCGTTGTTTCGTGAAAATTTCAAAGTATCAATATTAGACAAATTAACAAGACGTGAAAGATTATCAAGATATTTTTTTGAATCATCGTCGTCTTTCTTAAACAATGAGAAAACTAAACAAGAGAAGTAGTTTATTGATCGATTAAGAATCAAGTAAACTTACTTCGATCTAGCCGTATCATACTATTTTCTAAGGATGATATAATTGCTGGATTCGGATATGCTAAGTGGCATACGATATAATTGACATTTTCGCATGTAACAGTAGTAGCTAGTTGAGGAGGAGCTGTTGTTGTTGTTGTTATTGTTTTCTTCGTCATAAAAAAATGCATTTTTTTGCCAGGAAATTGATGATGATAATTATTCAGATTAAATCTGTTTGTTGATCTTATATCGAATGTATCACTAATTATTATTGTCGGCATATCATATTCACGACGTGTTATCACATGATTATAATTGAGTGTCCACAAATGGATATGTTCAACTGAAATGATTAGATGAACGATAAAAATGACATAAATAATAATAATTAGAACGTTTCTTCTTTTTTCCTATTTTAACGATCGTTTATTGCCTTTAGAGATGTGTCGTACAATGTAAACAAATAAAAATAAGATATTTTATTAACATCAACACCAAAGATAATAACCAAACCTTGGAATTCGAAGAATATTACTAACTTTTTCAACAAAGATCTGCTCGAATTCACAGAATTTATACGAAGAAAGAAGTTTTTGTCAAGATAATATAGTGAAATTTACAAATTTCAATAATACAAAACTCAAGATGGATAATTCATTTTGTTCATTTTATAGTGCATAAAACGAAACAATAAAATAAACATTTTCGATCTGATACACAACATTTATTATTCAAGAAATATATCAGTACTGAAAAGTTTTGTAATAGAATGAACTACTTTTTTTTCAAATTCAAGAATATGTTGTTTATTCCTCAACCATGTTTTTTTTTAAAAAAAGAATATTCTAATCAATTTATTGCTGAATAGATCTTAGTCGAAGAAATAGATATTATTTTTTTAATTCGTTGTATTTGATACGTAATGCGTTTAATTTTATTTATTTGACTTACATGGAAACAAAGGTAAATATGGAATATACGGCATAAATTTCCATCGACTAATGCACATATCCCATTTTTCATATAGATTGATAAAAGATCTGAATGAGTTGAGAATATTGTCTAAATCAATCGGTTGGCCATTTGTTAACAAAGACATATGAAAATCAAATTTATTCAAATAAGGTACATGACATGTTAACATCTCACGCCAATTTTGTCCATTAATCAAATCCATCATAAATGGTGAAATATTCTTATCAACAATAATTGTAAAAACAAATCGATGAAGATTAGGCATACAACGAAGAATAAGACCAATTAACTGAATATCACATCGAATCATTACTATTTGTAAATCAAATTTTTTTAATAATAATGATTTAGGTAGATCATCTTCGTTAATAGATGGAAGACTAGGCACACTTGAAACAAGAAAATGAAATATTTTTTTTTATTCTCACATAAACTATTAGATTTCAATCACTCATAAACTAATATAACGACTTACTTTATAGAAATACTCATTGGTTGTTCTGTACTTTTAATTGTTACACAAAGAGATCGTAATGCACTATGAATACGAAGCAAAGGAATAAGTGAATAGATCGATACATCATTTAATGTCCCATAAAAGACTATTTGTAGATGTGTAAGATTTGTTGCAACTGTCTTAATGGTTACTATTTGTGGATGATTATAATGAAAATAAAGAGCAGTTGACCGAAGTGTTTCAGGTGTATCTACCAAAATCAATTGACTAAATTTATCTGCATCAGACCTATTAAGGTTGTCTTCTGGAACGTTACAAGATTGAATTATACGAAATAAAACAATCTTAGTTAATTTTGACAATTTTTCAAAAACAATTTTCAATTTGGATGTTGAATTAATTAAATGAAATATACAAGAATGAAGATTAACAAAATCATATCGATCGAATAGATACGCAATAACATTTTTTTGGTCACATATTTCATCATAAATTTGTAGCGAAACAACTTGTGAAGAATGAAATTTCAAATGATTATACAAAAATTTAACTTCATGACGACAGTAAGTCGAATGAATGTTGATGTGAAGAGGAATTGAATTTAGAAGTAATGAAATACGTGAATTCAGTGAACCAAATGTAAAAAAAATAGCATCTGCGTATAAGTACTCGAATATTTCCAAAAATATTTCATTCGATAAGTCTTCCAATTGAGTAATAATAGTCATTTTATTCGTTATCGAGCATATGATAATACAGATCAATATGTTGCATATGCACTCAATTATAAAATGATTGACTCGCCGATTGTAACAGATGAACTAACTATTGTGTGTATGATTGCTCTCGATAACTCAGTCAACATTATTGACGGATAAAATATTCAAGCGAATATTCTTTTCTATCTTGATCAATAATAAAAAAAAGGTCATGTCGAGAATATCTGTCTATATTCGTATTCGACGTGTTCTACCAAGGGAGAAACGACTGACATATCAACTGACTTGAAATTTGTGATGCCTTGTAGAGTTGATGAAAATTACATCATTCGAAAGAGCGTAAAATACTGGGCATTCGGTACAAGTCTTCAAAGCGGATACGCTATAGCCTCCAGCAGATTTTTTTTTAAAATACATTTTCCAGCGAGAATTGCTGTTTTTTTTTCTTCCTCTCATTCTCTCTCTCTCTTGCTCTCTCCTTTTCTTTCTGCACATGCGCTAGCGTTCACGTTATTTCCTAATCAACTCTCTTCATTATTTCAAAACTTACTTCCAAAATTGTCAAACAAAGTAATTACTAATAATTCAGAGATATGAAGCATTATTGAGTAATCCTACTTTGATAATCATAGACATTATTTCTAGAGCATTGTTTGAAGATTTTCTTAGAACTTTTACGTAAATATTGCGAAAATCATTTCTCGTTCATTAAATCATATCAGAATGACGACTCTTATGCCCGATTTCAGTAAGTTTCTGATCAGTATCGACAGATTTGCCATCGATTTCGCTAAGAAACTTCAGAAATGATCGAATCTTGAACACAGAACATTGCGTTCATACCTGGCAACCTGTTGTGTCCGGTTTCACCTGGGTGTGGATGTATGTCCGTCACTTAAAGTATTTAAAGTATCAGAAAGCTTTTGAAAATAAGGTTTCTCCTACTAATTATATTATAACCGACTGATATATTGAATAGCTCAGTGTTAACCTCGTCGCTGATCTTTTTTTAGATGGTAAACTAAGCCTAAAATGTCATAGAGGAGACAAAACTATTCTTAACTACTCATAATGCGTGTAAATAATTATATCAATTGTATTTTTGGTGAAATTCACATGAAAAATAGTCATTTCCAGCGTAGACTTGATCTATCACTCATGTACGTGTAACAGACAAAAATACGAAGGAAAATTTAAAATCGATTTTCGAAATGCTTTAAAATTATTAAGCTCATTATTTTGAACAATTTTGCTGTTGAGAGCGCCTCTAAATTCCTCATGGATTTGCTAAAAGTTGAATTTTGGTGTCCCGCAAAATTTGCTGAGATCATATATTGATCCTATAAGCGCAAGGACGATTATACAATTCTTCATATAGAGTGAGTGTATAGAGAATACTTTGAGCTATCGATTGGTAAAAAATCAGAAAGAGAGACAAGTTCTAATCGCTCAAAAATTAGGATTCAAAAAATATTTCAAAAATGGCTGAGATTGTACATTTCTCTCGTGACACAAACGGGGTGAATCATTTGACTTGAACGGGATAAATATATAATCGAAAAGTACTGTTCAAAGAATACCTTGTAGATAGGTGTGCTCACAAGATATCGAGAAAATTTTTCCACCAACCGATAGAGCATGATAGCAGATGGATGTCTTGTGAACAGAATTTTAAAAAAATCCAAAACTAAAAAAGTTATAGCCATTTTGCTGAAGATCACTGCTTTCCCTTCTACATTCACCCATGCTTACTCTACATCTTCTACCTGGCTCAAGATAATACAATAGAAAAAATTCTCTGATATCGGCCTTATATCTCAGGCTGGGTAAGGAGTTAGAACTCAAGCTTTTGCTTGCGATCAGAGCCGTTAAGTTCTGTTTATGGTAGAAGTTTCAATATGGGTGTGGGTGTGGGTGTGGGTGAGTGTGGATGTAGGTGGGGTGGGTGTGGGTGGGGTGTGGGAGGGTGTAGGTGTGGATGTGAGTGTAAATGTGGGTGTGGGTGCGGGTGTGGGTGTGGGTGTGGGTGTAGGTGTAGGTGCGGCTGTGGCTATGGGTGTGGCTGTGGGTGTGGGTGTGGGTGTAGGTGAATCAAGAAGATAAAGATACACTCACACCCACACCCAAAAAAACTTGATGTTTTTAATTTAACATATATTCGTCGTAGTGCTGAGATTGAAGCAAAGAAAATAAGAAGACCAAGAACCAAAAACATGGTGGGGAAGTATATCGAATTGGTGGAGGGGAAATAAACCACAAGATAATCCAGATTTGATCTTAATGATTTTTATTAATTTATTTTTAGAAGTTGATTTAGAAAAGGTCATGACATCGGATGAAAAGAAGAAATTATATGATGCTATTGGTTATGAAGGAGAAGATACTTCCACATCAACTTATCCAGAAGAAGTGAATTGCTATTGTTTATATCAAATGACAACAACAACATGTTTTTGATTGATTCTTTTTAGTATATCGATATAGATTTAGCTATTCAATGAAAGTTAGTTGGTGTTAATGTTTGGTCGAAAATTAATGAAAATAATGCTCATTAAGTGTATATGATTTTTTTCGATATATTTTATTATTATTATTATTATTATTTTTACTAGATTTCGAGTTATTGCTCGAGCAGCTATATCTGATACTAGTTTAGTGTTTAAACGAAGATCAGCAACATCAACTATTGAGTATGTTAACATTTATTCAATTATTCTATCTCCAAGTCAATAAATAATTCTATCTCTGGGATTCATTTATTGTCGAAGGCAGCTCATCGGATAGATGCTATTTTCGATTGTAAAATGATAGCGACTTAGAAGTAGAAGTCCGGTCATTGGATTCCTTCTTTCAAGTTCTTAGCATTTTTAAGAGTTTAATGGCCATATTTCATTCATCTCATGCAGTCAGCAGTTTATGAAACTAGATCTAGAAGGAATGTTGAAGTATAGGGGTAAAAATATGAACTTCCATCCACAGATTATGACAGATGTTGACATACAATCACAGATCGTATGTCAATAATGTCTTTTTCATTATACATGAATTACAGTGACGAACAAAAGTTTAGAGCAAACGTATTTGAATGGCTTCATTTGATAGAGCAAAATGATATGTCTCCGTTTTCTTCATGACATTCATTCATTGAACTGTATTCAATTCACAGAAGACCCAAAAAAAGACGGCATGTTTCCTTTATTTTTATGTGAAATTTCAATGATTTCACCGTGTTTGACGCTTTGTTGTCTTCTACAAAATTGAATGTACTTTGGTGAAGCTAACTCGGGCTCAGAGTTATTTGTTCTATCAAAAAAAAAAACATTTCTAAAAAACATCGAATGTATGCCAGAAAACTGGTTTTTGGGGTCTCAGCTTTCCAGATAGCCTCATCATAAAGCTGTTTCATTCGAGTTTTTATATCCATCAATCCTGATAAATAATCTTTTCAGTTATTGGAATGTTTTTCCGAACTCTTCCTAGTTATTATCATTCAGAAGAAAACTCAAAAATATATCTGCTATAAGCTTTTTGCGTCACTATACTTCTTGATCGCATTTCTGGAAGATGAAGTCAAAGGATGATGAAGAAATATGTCCTAAAGTAGGCTCTCGGTGATGAGCAAGAGAAATTACATCGTCTTCTACATGTCAATGCCGTAGGGAGTGCACTAATAGCGTTTCAATAGATAAGCGATATCTTACAATTTGTTTTGTCTATTATCGACTTTTATAAAAGAAGAAAAAAAGATATTTAAAGTACAAATAACCAGATATACAATCAAACAGAAATCTTGCAAAATTAAAAGTCATATCAGGAGAGACAATCATAGAACGAATATATTCTCACATCGAGACCAATATCAAACTATAAAAGTAGTATTCAAAATCTATATTGACATGCAACTTAAACAGTAATTCAACTGGTTTTCGTAAGAAAAAAATCATGGATTTTGTCGATTGATATTTTCTCCGATATTTGAAATCATGTTCGTATCCTAAAAAGACTGAAACTTATTCAAATTTTCTTTTAAATCAATAAACAATTTGAGTGACTGTCTTTATGACCTCTAGTACCTTAATTATGTTCTATCTAGTTCCTAAAGTTAGACAAAATACAAAAATTCATAAAAATCTAGAAGAATAAATGTATTTTGGATATAATTCAAGACATATTTTTCAAAACAAAAAATATTATCAATAAACGGCGTTACGAAGGAAAACATTTTACAGGAACTATGACAGTTTTAACTAACAAACTTTAAAAAAGCTGATCAGTAAGTTCAACTGACTTTTCTAAAATTGAAATGAAACTATTACATCCCTACTATTATTTACCAAAACTCATTTTCTCATCAACTAATCATCATGCAAAATAAAAATATAAAATACAAATGTTTACAAATTGCTCATCTAATAATCAAATAGATTTTTTTCCAACAGATTTATGTTAATACCAATCTGTTTTATTTAGAGTCGCTGTTGATTTTGGTTCATTTCAAGTGTTTGGTATGGGTACAGATTTAAAACAATCTGAATTTTCTAATCATAGTCGTCCTGTACTTGCTCAACCTATTTATCGATCATCATCATCCACATCTAGTCAACAAAAATTACTACAAGTTGAATTTGAAACAAATCCATTAGATAAATCATCAGATTATCGTGTTAAAGTTGTTTTACAATCTCTTGAAATTAAATACAATGCAGTAAATATAGAATTTTAACTGTATAATCTAAAAATATTGTTTTTCTTTTAGCCAACAATTAATAAATTAGCTGAATGTTTTGAACAAAATACTCTACATAATCTTCAAGGGTAAATTATAATTGAAAAATAAATTCTATTTTAAATATAAATTTATTTTAGTGTTAAACAAGCTGTTTATTCCACTTATACAGATGTTAAACAACGTTCTTATATATGCATGAAATATAATATCGAAAAATTAAAGTTTTAGATATTGATATTGATCTTCAATCAGCTTATTTTCTTTTACCAAACAATGGAGTTTATCGAGAGTAAGAAAATGGTTTTTTTTTAAATTATTTTAATCTATCGAATTATTTTGTTTTCTAGTGGTGCTGCAGTGATTTGTATGGATTTCGGTCATTTAACATTAAAACGTACTATAAAACCAAGTGAGAACGGAGAACAAGCCATTTCACTTAAAGAAAACACTCCATAGTGCTTAGTGATATTCATTTCCACCAAAAAGTACTTATCAGCAGCACACATTTAGATTAAACTATAATTCTAGGGATTCGTTCAGTAAGTTGGCGTCCAAAAATCGGCAACATTTATAAAGAAACATCAATGAGCCTTATTCCCATTTCGCTTATAAGCCTCCAACCAATGAAAATAAGCATCAACGTATGTCAATTGTTGCTAACAGCGGCTTCTTCCCTTTGATTTTTTCTTACTATCTATCCATTTCCTTTCTAACGAAAATATTCGTTNATCGATTTATTGCATTGAGAGCGGAGAAGGTGAGAGAAACAATCAAAGAAGAGAAACGATCAAAGAAGAGGAACGATGAGCTACATAATCAACGAATATTTTCGTTAGAAAGGAAATGGATAGATAGTAAGAAAAAATCAAAGGGAAGAAGCCGCTGTTAGCAACAATTGACATACGTTGATACTTATTTTCATTGGTTGGAGGCTTATAAGCGAAATGGGAATAAGGCTCATTGGATTAGAGTAGCATCACTTCGTAGTCCTATTGAGCACTCCTCTTTTTATGTTGGCACCTGTTGCATACAAATAATAATTATTTCAAAATACTACTAAACTATTTCTAATAGGATCAAAGTAGACTGTTCAGTCTTATGTCGATCTGCTTGACACTACGTTTTATTAAAATACATGTCGCTAAGCACTACGATATGTACCAAATTTTTAAAGGATTTCTTGTTTTCAGGGATGTTAATGAGAGGAAGTCAAGCCTAGATCGAAATTGATACAGAACTTCTGGTTTGGATTGAAGAGTCACCAAAATTTCACACCGGGTCGAATTTCATTTAATCCAACTTTTCTTTTATACTTATAATTTGATTTATGACAGAATATTGAAGAAGCTCGTGAAAGATCTTATACTCAATTTAAATTAAAACTTGAAAATATTCAATTAATTTATGCCAACAAAAGTAAAACATAAACAAAATCTATTAAAAATAAAAAATAATAATTTTTTCTTAAATAAAATTTGGATGAAAGTTGGGAAAAGGCTCGTCAAGAAAAAATATAAATATACATTTAATTAAACCAATGAAGCTTGATTTAGATATTGGTAAATGTATTTATAGTGATGATGCTATTTTACCTGCGTACGTTTTTCTTTACAAAAAAAATATTTTTAATTAAATTTTTATTTTATTTCAGTTTGAAAGTTGCTGAAAATCTTCCTAGTGTAGATTTACACTCATCCGATAAACGTTTATTTCAAATAATGAATCATATTCAATCAATTCCATTTCCTGAATCGAAACATTCAGTCGTTATTACACAATCGATTGAACCAGAAGTTTGTTTCATTCAGTTTTTGAACTTCGAAAAAAGCACAAAAACAAAAAAATCTTTGATTTTAGCCAACACTTGTACCACCATCATTGAGTAGTCCTGAACAAACATTAGAAATAGTCGAAGGAATGACATCAGTTTAAAAAAAACTAAAGAAAATAAAGATAAATAAATACAAAATACAGGTACAATTTTAGAAGCAAAATTTACACTTGATAAAGTAAAGAATTCTTTATTTTTCATTTACTATTTAAATAATTTTTATTCTTTTTGAAAGATTGATATACATATTGATGAAAGTATGAATGAAAATAATGAAGATGCACCATTTCTTCGTTTAACACTTGTATCCATTGTTGTTCAAACAAAAATAAAAACATTTGATATGAAATTTGATGCATCATTAGCTAATTTAATTGTCTATCATGAACAATTTATCGGTTAAGATAATCAACAATTAGGTTTATTGTCAGTTCAATTAGAACAAAACACTTATAATAATGAAAATCAAAAGTTAGCTAGTGTCAATTTTCTTCATACATCACCAGAAAATCCATTATTTTTAACATCGAATTATAATGGAATTGAAAATAAAGCTCATGTTCATTTTAGTAAACTTGTTATATTACAATTAGGAGCACTTTTATCAATATTAAGATTTCAAGATACATTAATGAAACAATTACCACAAGAATACCAGAAAATAAAGCAAAAAAGAAACAAAAAGAACAAACAAATGCTGAAGATAATAAAAATATTGATAAAACTGGAAAAGTTGTCCAGAAAAAAGGTGAGCAATCTGTCCAATCGTGATGGAATCACATTTTTTCATTCTATATTTTTAATATTTCAAGAGAATGAAGCTGAACATTTCGGAATAATATTAAAGTCAAATAGTCTTATACATCTTGAAAGTTTCAAGGAAGAATATTCCTGCCTTTTGGCGATCTTGTGGCATGGGGTGCTGCTTAATGGCAGATCTAATAGCCCAACATCTTTCCTACAAATAATACTAGCTATAGTTCTGAATAGAAGGCTAGCGTGTAGGAAGCCACGGGTCCATATTTTTGTAGACTCAGACTCAAGAGAAGATAAGCTTCTGGGTCCGAACCTGATCGCGATCGCATCCAAAGCCGAGTCTTTTCCCATCAATATCGGACACTCTCTGTGTACATGAAAAAGTGAAGAATTAAAGTTTTTTGCTATTTTCTGACTACCAAAATCTTCAGCTATATGAAATAGTCTTAGTTGTACTTAAAGAAACGAGAATATATTCTATGGAATCAATATGAAGATTTATTTATTTATAAATCATTTTCTACTACTAGTTCACTATTTAAGCATATTCATAGTTGTCAAAACAAAAAAAAAAAGATGAGTCTCCAATGCTCAAACAAGTATCAATCAGTTTTATGCATCTTCAAAAAATGAACGAGCCACTTCGAATCGAGTTCAGCAAAAAATTAAAGTTGCTTGTGTTGAATTTTCAAAACTTCAGTATCAACCTTGCAAAACAACCAATGATATCGCTTTTAAAAGTGTAACACAAAAAATTTGTAATGCATTGATTTGTATGTCGCTTCGTTTTCTAGCAAAGTGCTAAACATTTAGTTTCACTAAAAACGTTCCGTAACGTCTGGTATTTTCTGAATAGCTTAACTGTTACAATGTAAAGCAATGAAATTCCGTAACGCTTCGCCACATCGATCTATGAATGATTATTTTAATCGTTCAACTGTTTTATGAACCATTAATTAATTATTCGATTTATTGAATTCCATCGAATGCCAATTTTATGATTTATTTTTTTAGATGTTTCAGCAGCATCTCCATTTAAGATTGATGCTGATTCAGAAGAATTTCGAATAATACTTGCAGCAAAACAAGCAAAATTATTTCATATATAAGTTCAAGGTTAGAAAAATTTTTTTTTTAAATATAATTCGAATTTCCATTTAAATTTAATTTAGGTGTCAAAACTAATGTATCACAAGCACCAGAAAAGACATTGGTCAATTTATTTCTATCCGATTTACGTGTTTTAGATCCATATAGAGAAGCACGATATCGAAATGTATGAGAGAACAAAAAAAAATCAAATATTTATTTTTTAAATATCAAGGGGGAAACAGCTGATTCTGGAGTATGGAATCACATAAAATCACTTGGAATCAGTGGAATCACTTGGAATCAGCGGAATCACTCGGAATCATTTGGAATCACTTGAAGTGAGTCTGAGTCAAATATTTGTCTGCTTAGATTATCATCATAAATAAGTATTCTATAGGTCGGAAATATGTTTTTGTTATCAAAACTACGTTTTAATTCCGAAAGGGTCCATGAGAGGACCACCAACACGGGCACATGAAACATTTTAAAAACACTTTTATTACATCCAACGAAAGCTCGTGGTTGAAAACCAACCGATATAAAATTTTAGCTCATCCTGACCTAGCCCTGAAAAGTTATACAGGTGACACCGGTGATGTGCCATGATGGTTTAGGTCAAAATACCAAAGGAGGTGTGTCAAACTATGGATCGGGTGTATCAAAACATCTGACCCTAATTTTATTAGCCGAAAAATCAGCATGGAATTCTGATTATTTTTCACAAGTTTATTTTGTACTTTTGGACAGTTCAATTTTTCAGGCCTGGGATCCTCCTCAGGTGCCGAAAACCACTTTTTATCGCCGCTCCA